AACAATACAACTAAGTGATTCTATGACCTATAATAAATATAATATAACTTAATAAATCACCAAATTTGATTCTAATCCATTGAGGATTTCGTCGAATAATGAATGTTGAATTCTTTCGTAACATTTCTTAATATATAGTTTTGCCAACACCTAAAGGTATTTTCCCGGCTTTAATCCTAGCAAGTTGCAAGAGTATAAAATGTTCGGGTACACCTGAACTTAGCCCTGCATTACTTGTTTTTTTTAATACAAATCCTTTGTTCCTTTTGAAGATTCAGGTTTCGTACCTTTTCTAAATCTGTTAGCGAAGTTAAAAAGTGTTCCGCGTTTTTAAAATAAGAAAAAAAAAAATTACTGATGAACATAATGATGTCGAGTTTTTCAACAAAGTTTGTGGCACAAGAATAAAGTGAATAATAGTAAACTCATTTTAGTCAAAACTGTCGACTTTAGACTTAAATTGACAATTGACGTAAAAATTTCTATTCTAGCTTCACCGAAATTTTGACATCGGCAAGCGGCAATCATAAGAACCGACAGAAATGTCTGCACGTGTTTTTATACCCTGAACAGGGTTTAAGTTTGCCACAAAGTTTTTAACACACAGAAGGAAATGTCGGAATCTCTATGAAATATATATATATATAAAGAAAAAAAAAATATGTATATAATATATGATCAACGTAACGAGCTGATTCGATTTAGCTATGCTCGCCGCTATATACGCGAACTAGTTCTTTGCACACCTCCTTTGCTCCTCAAGTAGTTGCTCATTTGTCGGAATGGGAACGGACATCGGACCACTATGACATATAGTTGCCATACAAACTGATCGATCAAGTCTTTATATGGAAAACTTTTTTAATTGTGGATATTTTAACTTTATGCTATTGTATGTCTTCGTAAAGTGAGAGGTATTACGAAGAGAGAGAGAGAGAGAGAAGAGCCTAAAATATCTTCAATACTAGATATAGATTAGTGTCTTTAACCATACGAAAAGGATTAAACACTTGTCTGTTTTTTCTGATAATAACAGCGAAGCACAAAACAAAAACTATCAATCACTTGAATTATATTATAGCTTTGTGTGTAAATATCGAAATCCCTAAACATTTTGGATTTTGTAGAGATGTTAAAGATCGCATTAAAGTAATTTTATTGCTAAAATGATCTTTCAAGTAGTATTTTGCTCCAAAATTCGTACTAAACTCTCTCTGTCTGAAGATCGCTCTCTCTGTAAGAATTTTACACATGCTTTCGATGTTTTGTGCCCGTTTTGTCATTCGCAAATGAAAGAGCATTGTAATATAGCAATAGTCACCGAGAGCCACCGATATATCAAATATGCGTATTCAAGGTAGAAAATTTGTCGTATATAACAGTGAATTTCTAGTCAATGTTTAAGTGAAAAAAAGTTTTTGCTGTCAAAATTGTATATCACTCGTAAAGAAGGTCCATATGGTGCCACCCATATACCAAAGGTTCGTTGAACTTCAACCAGGAAAAATGCTTCAATTGAGCTTTGTATAAAGCAACCACTAACTTAAAGAAAATACCAAATTTTATTGCTGCTTGTGAACTCACACACTATCACACTTTCTAGCAATTAAAACAACTGTAAAAGGGTAATTAATTGAGTAATGAAGTTTCATGCGTTCCGAGATATATTTCTAGTATGCAGGTGTTCATATATACTTGCACTGATATGCCTATGTGCTCTATGAAAATACGGTCTCGATACAAACCTTGTTGCCAGTTAAAATTTTCCATAAAAACTCTCAAGAGTGAGTTTCCCAAGCAGGGAATGTGAGCCGCCAGACCCGCTACCCTCTAAGTTCCATGCAGGCGTTTGTAAGTGATACAGCATACAAAGCAGGACAATAATACTATCTCCTTGGCACTCGAAGGTCTTCACAGCCAGTCATTCATCGTCTTTCTACACCCTCTGTTCCCCATTTGTGTGCCTACACTGTGCTCGGCTGCATTGCCGCACCCGCATTGAGCTCATATGCTGTGTATAAATATTACATTAAAACTTTTCTCAACAAGATAAATTTAATTGGCGGCAATTTGTTGCAAACATTTTCCTCTTACAACAAAACAAAAACAAAAAAAATACTAAACTTTCTTTGCAAGCCATACTCTCACTTATGCACATAACTACGCATCCTTCGTGCCTCACTTTCACCACTTCGCCATCTTGTCTATGAAACGCTATCTAGTTGCTGGTTTACTGTTGTTTTTGCCAAAGCTTCAGCTACATGAAATACATATTTCTGCTCGCCTGCATAAAATACCGAAATATGCGTAACACTGTAAGTTGTAGAGGGCCTTGTAAGCGAGAGTGAACTCGACAACTCAAATGACAGAAACAACAACTTAAGCGTTGACATGCAGCCTTGCAAAATCAAAGCTTGACATGGCAACAGTGTCAAAGTCTCGGATTTTCTATCCAAATAAAATGAAAGTTTGAAAGTCATCAACTCTCTTACTAGAATTAGTTCATTTGTAAAAATATACAAAAGAGGACTAAGGTCAGTCAGAACTGCATACATCGAGTACGCAACATAGCATCATACATACCACCACCAGTGTACCGGTATCAAGTGAGCGTTAAGATACAAGTTAGGGAACATTTGTTGTGTACGAGCCTTAATTTTTTCTCTGTTTGGTTGGCATGACATCTGTCAAACATATTCAATAACCTTACAGTCATTGAGCAAACAACGTCATATTTTTTCATTGTGTTGAAAAAGTCAAATTTTGTACCGGAAAGTGATGATTTCTTTGTTTCCATTTGAAGAAAAGTGCTGCCGAGTCGCATCGATTACTTGTCGAGGCATATGGTCATCATGCTCTATCAGAAGCAATATGCAAAAGATGGTTTCAACGATTCAGAGATAATGATTTTAATGTGAGAACTGAAGAACGGGAAAGACAACCAAAAAAATTTGAAGACGCCGAACTGCAAGCAATATTGCATAAAGATAATACTTTGAGTCAAAAGCAAATGGCTGCCATGTTAAACAAACATTTTCAGCCTCAGCAGCACTTCGATTCCTACGCAGAAGTCGAAAATTGGGTGTCTGATTGGTTTGCTTCAAAAGACGAACATTTCTATTCACATGGTATCCACAAATTGTCAGAAAAGTGGGCGAAATGTGGAAATACCTGTAGCAATGGTCAATACTTTGCACAAATATTTTTTACTTTCTCATTCAAAATTTGTATTTAAAAAAAAAAAAAACTCATTTCATACTGGTAGTATATAGCATAAGGATGATCAGTAAATATTTCAATTAACTCTCATTTACTACAAAAATCCGTTTAATATACCAACATCTCTCTGCTAGATGCTAAGCCGAGCTTTTGCTCTATCTTGAGGTGAGCAACTTGCTCATACTTGTAGTTTTGTCACAATCTAATTTGGCACTGTTAGAAAATACAATTTTTGATATTGATCGGTATAAAGATCGCGCCCAGGTCCGCCGTAATATGTCGCCAATACTTGTATATACAAAACGTGATGAGTAAAATTTGAAGACGCAAATTATAATATTTTTAAGATTATGAGTATGTTGACCAATTTGCTTCAATGTTGACCACTTTTGTAGGCCTGATCTTAAAGTATTAAGTACTAGATAATGTCGCTATCTAACAACAACTGGTTTGAGCGCAATAAACTCGTCTTCAGATTTTCGTGTGAAAAACTAGTTTGCAATTGAACTTATCGCGGAGGTTTATGCAAAATCACGAATGCTGTTTCCATGCCTCTGCTTCGAGATCGTTTCAGTCGGGTCTAAGCAAACAAAATGAAGTCTGTTACACACCTAAGGCAGTGAAAACTTTTGGTTTTTTATGTTACAAATGGTCAAAGTTTTATTGGGAGGCGTTTGTTGTGGAGGCTTCGACGGGTTTGAATCAATATATTGTGTGATGGGTAAGTTATAGTTGGATAAGTTCGGATCGAGTCGATTTATGAAATTGTTAAACCTACTACAATATCCAAAACTTGATTTTGATTGTACAAGAATAAACAATTTGAGTTTGTTTTGTCGTTGACCGGATAATTAAAAAATTCGGTATAGCTTCTGCTTACAAAACCCTGAATGTCTTGTGATACGGTTGGAAGCTTTGTCTTTGTCGGTACTGTTTTGAACCCCTTCACAAGACGCTAGTGCTTGAAGGTGTTAGTAATTGTTTGTAAGTCACGATGTTTGATATTTGTTCTATGCCCGGTTGAATTGAGTACGTGTCTTCTACAAGATGCTTATGAATGATTCTAGGGTTATACCCTGAACATGGTGTAGTAAGTTTAACACGAAGTTTGTTACGTCTGGAAGCGAATGTCGGAGATCCTATAAAGTAGGCACTGAGTCGATTTAGTCATGTTCGTCTGTCTCTATATACGCGCACTAATCCGTCGGTTTTTAAGATATCCATCGGAAATTTTGCACAGGTCCTTTTCCCTTCAAGAAAATGTCCTTTTGTCGAAACCGCCAATATCGGATCACTAGTAACATATTGCTGCCATACATAGATAATTATCGAAGACTACGCTGTAATCTCGTACTGTTCAGAATGGTTCGCCATAGCATATAGCTTCCATACCAAATGACCTATACAAATTGAAAACGTTTCTATTTGACAACATATTTTTATGATATTTGGCTTGGACTTTAATCGTAGGCAATGGTACAATCTCCGAACATATTGTTCGAATCGGATCACTATAGCATATAGGCGTCAAGCGAATTGACCTTTCAAAACCAAGATTAAGATCTCTTTATATCATTTTATGTTATAAGAAATGCACCTATACAAGTTTTTTCTAATCAACTAATTTTCATGTACACCTTTTACATACGTAGCACCCTCACATAAACCTTCTTTACGATTTCAAGTATTCTTCAAACGAATTTTTAACATTAAATGATAAATATTTGCACATGAAAATATCTTAATTTCCAACTCGTTTCCATTTATATCTTCTTCAACAGAATTTCTACTTGCCGACCAGCAACAACATAACGTGGTCGGTGTGCTCGGCTTCCTGCGCTTGCTGTTGCCATTAATCATAGATGGATTCAGCACTGATTGTCCGGACGATTGCGATGATGGCCACAGCACACAAGCACACGCCGGAGTCAATAAAGGCAAGGCAAACACACGAACGACACCGATGAAGACAGGCGCAGGCGGTGCGCATATAACAACAACAACAGCAGCAGCAAAAACAACTGCAATGCCAATCAACACAGAGTGCAGGCAAATTATTGAAATTTTCGATTATTGTTTGCATTTGTTGAACATCAGCAGTGCTTCTCAGCATTCCATCATAAATGCCGCACTTGAGGTCATCAATGCAGTGCTGCAGGCACTCGATGCTGCTGCCAACAACAGCAACCAAGGCAACGGCAAAGCCAACAGCAACAACAATGATATTTTAAAATGTTTGCAAACAGCATTGTGTAATCAAAAATTGCAACATGCCGAGTATCTGCGGCGAAGGAAATCATTAAAGAATCAAATATTCCAATTGAGAAATTACGAAGCGGCAGCCGCAGCAACGGTTGTGCCGACACCTGCATGGCAGCAGCGGGGTGGCGTTCCAAGTGATTTCCATGAATTTACTGTAAAAGACGTTGACAGCGAAGGTGAAGGTAAGTCAAGTCAAGTGATGATGATGCATTTGCTTTGCGCTGCTTTTGGATGCTTGGTGGGTGGGTGTTTGGTGAGGTTGGTGTATTGGTGCTGGTTATATTGGTGTTGGTGTTGTTGTTGTTGTTGTTGTTGTCTTGTCACATGCAGCATATAAATTAGGAATTCAAAATATTGCAAATGTACAATTGAGAGCAGCCACAATAGTAACGGTAAAAAAAAAAAATTAAATACGCATATACATACGAGTAAAAGCAATCATATGCAGTTGTTGCTGCCGCGCGCCAGTTGATCAGCAGCAATTACTTCGTCTGCGCCTCTGGCAGCGGCGTCCGTGATGACACATTCTCGCAAATATTATTGCTGTTGTTAGCTTGATGGTGGCTTGATAGTTTTGCACCGCAATGAATGTGTGTCCTCGTGTCGCTTTTGTTGATTTGATGATGTTGATTCGCTGGTGCTGCTGCTGCTAATAATGCTAATAACGGCAAATCTACTGTATTTTTATTTGAGTTATTTACCTCTTCGCTTCAATCATCCACTTCAATCATCGCTTGCATGCTCGTGTGCGCTCGTTTGCCAAGGACGAGTGGCTTGGTTTATGCTTGCTTTCGATGTGTGCTATTCGTTTGTTATTGTTAACTGTAATTTTCATGCGTTTCTGCGTTTTTTTTTTTGTTGAAAATCATTCTTGTTTTTTTTTGTTGTTTATTTTTTGATGCTTGTTTATCATTTATTTGCTATTAATGAAATTACAAGTGACGTGACATTAAAAACGTGCATACGATACGTGACATTTATATTTGGGTAACAAAAATACCGAAATGCACGAGCGAAGTAAGTAACTATAAAGTGCTCTTATATAAGAGTTTCTTAGCAGCAGTGTTGCACTAGGATGAAAAGCGTTCTTTTTTTGAGAACACTTCAGCGACTTCGAGTTTTTCAAGAAGGAACGTGAATTACGTAATCAAGAATTCTTCAAAAAGGAACGGAAAATAAACGGTGGCTTCAGCTGATCTTGTACAAAGCCAGGTAGTATGCGCAAAGATAGAGATACGTAGAGTCGCATAGAGCCATGTTAGATACATACTTTCACAGATTGTACGAAGCTCGGGGCTATATGTAAAATCACGAAGACTACTTCTGTATCTCTACTTGGAGAAAAAAAACTTTTTTATATAATAAATCTAATAAATTAAACTTCGATCATTAAGCATTATTACGCTTTAAGGGGGTATTCTAGTCTAGAGGCATGCATTTTAGGCAATTTTTAAAGTGTCTTAAAAAAAATCAATCAATATTTTTACTATCGATTTTTTTATCAGTTATTTATTAATGTTACAAGAGTACAGAAATAAATGAAAAAAAAGTTAAAAATATAAAAAACTGGCAGCTGATGAAGTGGGAGGTCTCAAAAAATTGGCACATGGTCATACCCATTATTTCAACTCTCTTAGTTATCCGAAATGAAAAAATAAAGATTATCAATCTGCAATGATGTCACAATGTATGAACTAGTTATAATTTTTTGACAAAATAGCGTCTGTTTGAAAAAAAAAAATATATTTTATATTCTCGTATTTTCTAAAAATAGTAAAAATTCAAATTTGTGGATGGTACTAGTTCATACTTGAGAGAGGTCTATAAAGAAGATTCTCTGAAAATTTCAAGTAAATCGGTCCAGTAGAACTCGAGAAATCGTGGGTATCGTATTGAAAAAGTCTGATCTGAAAAAAACGCATTTGAAGTTTCGCGTGAAGTCTTTTGTTCGATTAAATATATCCGAACGAGTTTAGAGGCCGGGTCAGTAAAAGTTTATATCTCCAAAAATAACTAATATTTTCAAAAATTCTCTCGTAGACATAGTTTTTAATATTTAAACTTTCAAAATAAAATAAAAATCGATTTTTTTGAAATTCTACACTGTAATACCCCCTTAATATTAAAGCTGAAAGAGCGGAGAGTGAACAGCCCGACGTTCCAACTCACGATAAGTGTAAGTGTGTTTGTAATTCTTCCATGAAAAAAATTAAGAAGATTTTACAAGTACATTATTTTATATGTAAATTTCGCTGAGAAAGTGCTCGTGATCGTGTATACTGTAAACTGTATAAACATATTTATCTTCGAAGTCAAGTTTCATCACAAATAATGTCAAATAAACATTTCGGTTTGCTCCCGATCGAACAGTAGATCTAAATTAATCCATGACAATTGAATCTACGTAGCCGGAACAGACCCGAATTTTTATCTGCTGAACGACTGTGAATTTGGCTGTTTCTCTTACTTTGGGAATATTTTCTGTGTCTACAAAAACAAAATAATCTTAATGAGTATTACGAAAAACATAGCATCTTCGATAACCTATTGATATAATAATCTCTTTCAAACTTCTAGCATTCGTTGCGAAACGTTATTTTATTTGGCGCTCTCTTTTTTTATCTGAGAGCCTTTTGGTACATTTTTAAATGAAATCAAAGTAACTATTGCTTCTGAGCAGTTTTATATAATAAATTACGATTTAAAAATTCGACCCAGGTAATTGAGGAAAATTTTAGAAATCGATAACTTTTTATACGATACTTTAATTTTCAGATGAGAGTTTAATTTTCAGATGACGATACTTTAATTTTCAGTTATTTTATCTATTCTGCCAAAAGCAAGAAGTTCGAAAATAATTTTTCAATATTAGTTAACAATTCAAAGGAGTTAAGAACGCAAGCCAAAAAAAATGTCGGAATCTAAAAGGGAGATTTTAACTTAGAATTTCTTTTCTTGACGTGTCATATGAGGTTTATTCGAGTGTGTCCGATAAATGCATTTAAAGGTATTATTTGAGTAATCTCAAATTTTGAATTCTACAAAGCTTCTCTTCGCGTATTTTTTATACGAATTCGTATTGAACTCTTTCATCAAATTAGAAAGTCTCGAATTTACTGTACCACGCCTAAAAGTGGACTACGAAGTCTTTGAAAAGGATGGGTATTTTGTTTTGAGAGAGGGGTGCCCGCAACGAACAATATCGAACAATGAAGATGAAGAGGAATAAAGAAAAAACAAAGGCTCAAAGATGTCTATCCTCGAATGTATTCTTTGTAAATTACCCATTTGGGTGTAGCGGTTAAAAAAAAAAAGTATAATATTTGTTGATAACGTATTGGAAATATCTATACAGGAAATATTTATCATGTCAGGATTGATATTATATGGTTTAGACCGCCATCAAAGACCTGCTGAATGTCCATAAGATTTTTATGCTTGAAGTATTTCCGTGTGTGTGGGCTTTCTTCCTGAAATTACACTTTTTTAAGTTTTAAATTTTGTCGGTCGGAGTTTAAAACCCATAATTTCTCGTACTACACCACGCTGGCTTATATAAGGTCAAGTAAAAAGCAAACTATTATTTTTTTATTATATGGCTTTAGTAATCTAAATCTCGCTTTGTATAAGTGCAATCGGATTACGCTTTATCGCGTGTGAAGGGTTTATGGTTCTGGTATTGTAACAGTTAAGTCCGCGCAGTTTTGGTTCCATCGATTCCGTTCCGGTAATGTTGATGTCAAAGGTGCACCGAGCTCTGGAATACCAATCATTGAACATAAACATAAAATATTGAAAATCATGGAGTCCGACCGTTATGTAATCGCTATTCCGAGTGCCCAGAAACTAAACATTGCACGAAAAACCATTTTGAACTAATAAATGAGGTTGGATACAAAAAGGAGCTCGATTTATGGGTGCTACGTAAAACTCTTAATTCGGGTCTGTACTGTCAACAATTGGGCCTTCTGAAGCAAACACTCGACCAGAAGCGGCAGTCAATAGGAGAGGAATTGTGTTCCATCATGCTAACTCAACGATACTCGCCAGAAGCTCCGGAAGTTTGGTTGGGCGGTTCTTATGCCGCCACTCTCTTCCACCTTATAGTTCAAACCTGGCACCAAATGATTACGACCTGTTCCTGCCCAAGTCGAACGGTCTTGCTGTTGAGAAATTCGTTTCAAAAGAAACTTATGAAAAGCGGCTTTCTCAATTTTGTGCCCATAGGAACGTGGGTTTCTATGCGCGCGGTATTATAAAATTATCTTCAAAGTGGCAGCAAGTCATCGCACAAAACGATGCATATTTCACCTAAATTGAATCATTCTAACGATGTTTGATAATGTATTTCTTTGTACTAGATCTTTTTTATTGTATTTAAGGCAGGAGTGCCGTTAATACCGTTTATTGTGTTTTTGATACTATCTTCCATAAAACTTGTTTAATGAATCTTCGTATTGAAGTAAAGACACCAATCTCAGCTTTAAATTGCCAGTGCTATTAAAACATTTACGGAACCCCTCCACTAATCGGAGCGTGATTTAGCTAGCAAGTTTTTTCCAACTCAACTTGCATATTTACATAGCCTCTCATGTGTGTGTATGTTCTTTTCATCCTTTCAGTTGTACTGCGTCGAGCACCGAATATGCGATTTACTGGTCGCAGCGTCAGTGAATGTGTTATTGACGAAGATGATGATGAGACGCATAGAACCGCATTGTCAACAGATTTAGTTGCCGTTGCGCATACTGATGTCGATGCTGATGCTGATGCTGATGCCATTGGAGCAGCTATCTATGCTGATAGCGTTGCCGGTGTGCTTGTCGATGTAGATGACGATGACTTTACAACACTTTCGGAAATAAATGAACCACAACAGCTTAGGGCGTCGACAGCAGTTGCGATGGCGCCGCCATCGTATGCACTCACAACAACAATTGACGTTGATAATCTGATTGATGCAATTGACGCGACAACAACAACGGAGGCCGCCAGAAGCACCAGCACCAGCATCAGCTGCGGTACTAGCAATCGCAATTGCACTAATATTGGCGCTGTGCAAACAAAAATTCAAGGCATGCAACCGCTAAACGAACAGCAACAGCAGCAACGGCAACAACAACAACAACAACACATCGAGAAGCAGTCTCACGAAAGACAGGTAGAGCCGCAAAATTTGCTTACTGCTTCCTCGCAAATTGGTGCTGTCGGATTCGGTGGTGGTGGCGTTGCTGGTGTTGGCGGCGATGCGGGTGGCAGCGGCAGCGGCAGCGGCGATGACAAATCACAACATTTGAGTGACATCGACAATGAATCCTTCAATAGCATTGATTTCGAGGCGGAAATCACCATAGCGGGCATGACGACGGGCGCGGCGTGCACCAGTGCGGATGGCTCGCCAACAAAAAGCAATACGGAGCTTGCAACAACAACAACAAGCGGTATAAGCGGAGATACAGCGCCAGCTGCTGGGGCTGCAGCCAGCGAATACGCTGCCGGTAACAAATTGAGCAGCAGCGGTGACACAATTGGCTCGTTCTTCAACAATTTGATTTCGAATGCAGGTGAGCTATTTTTCTGTTGTTGTGATTTTTCTCTTCGTGAAGCAGCCAAAAGTAATGATGCTGCGGGCGTAAGTTGAAATGGCATAGTTGAAATTGTAGTTGTAGTTGTACAGAAATTTCCATTTTCTCTTCTATTTTGTTTTGTTTTTTGGTTGCATGTTTATTTTTTCACGCATTTTTAGTTGCATAGCGTTTGCAGCGCCTGATTATTGTTGCTGTTGGCGTTGAAGGTTGCGTTGAAAATTCGTATTTATTTTTCTGTTAAAATTTAACTTTTATGTCTATTTGCATTCGTTCGTTTGGTTGCTGCTGGTTTTTTTTTTACTCTTAGCAATAAAGCTACAATCTATAGGAGCGATATGTACATAATTCCTTGCTTACCGCTACTTAAGTATACATTCACTTAAAATTAGATACCCCTTAGAGGCATGAAACCGATCATTTTCAGCCGCTTAAAGGCGGAAACCTTAATTATAGACATTTAATCATATTTTGCAGGACCTCTTTAAATCAAACATGCGCGAGTTATTGCATCACCTTCACAGATCAGAATTATCTTGGCCCAGTTTCAGTGATTATAAGAGATAAAACTTCCATACCGTTTACAGCAAATATTCTGTGTGAGAAGAGTCTTGATGTAACTACAATCTCATGTAACTCAACTGTTAGCCCTCTCCTCTCGACTACATAACTCTCTCCGAATATAAATATCAAACTATAGAAGATAGGGAAGGCTTGACCGATAAATATAAAAATCGTTGGATTTTGAGTTTTGGGTGGATGAGTTTGACGCAGAACCCAGACTGACTCATTATATAATCTTTACAGCTCTTTCGAGCTAATAAGTTTTAGTATTCTCTTGTGTTTTCAAGCTAAGTTATTAACAATCACAAAACCCATACCATTTGTAGTGAGAAACGTGAGGGTGTGATGAACAATTTCCATTTGACTTATCGCCGCAGTTTGAAACGGTGGAAAGGCATAATATACAAAAAAGTCCAAAAAGTAATAACAATTGATAAAGTCTTACTAATATTAAGAATCCTGCTAAAGTACTGTTATCATTTTGACCAAGTAGACTCGAAAATTAAGTAGACTCGAAAATTAAGATTGATCTTGATTGTAATACCAGATGGAGGTTCAGGTTAATATGTGCTGAAGTTTACGTCGTACAGGTAGTCAACCCATTTTGCGAATTTTAATATAGATTTGATATCTAATTCTGATACTCCATCTAGTCTCTTGAACTGCGAATCTCCTAGATATCTAACCCGAGTTTTAGAAAAGTCGGGCAGCAGCATAGGACGTGCGCATACAGTTCGCATGTGATGCCAGTTAGTTGTGACTGTTGACTAGGCTGCAGGACGGCTTTTCGAAACCGTGCGAGTAAAAAGCATGTCTGTTTAGGGTCGTTTGAGATCTAGCTCTGCGCAATAATCTCCAAAAAGAAAGAAATTAGAATACACTGAATAAAATTAAAGAAGTTCACCTCAATCACGTTTTTAAATGTCGCGTCAGACTATATGCTTTTCAAAGCTTTCCGGTATAATATCTTACTCTCATCCATATGCCGTCTGACCGCTCTCAATATATTGTGCTAAATTTCTAAGTATTTGTAATTTTAAAGTGGAAAAGAGTTCCAACAACATGATGGGCAAACCTACTTAGCTTTTTAAATTATAGTAGAGACATAGAGACATGCCAACACTTTCTTTCTTGTAGTTTAATACTAGCGAATATTGAATTTGAGACCTTGACATTTATATTAGCTTCATTTGTTTGGAATTTTAATGATTTTAAAGAGCAACGAACACAGTGCAACACAAACACGCAGCTGCCACAAAAATTATCCGCGCTTGCGGTGTATTTATCTACGCTTCCTGACAGATTAAAAGTCTGCACTTTGAGGCGTGTTGTGGTTTATGCAGAGAACACATAACAGACAAACAGTGTTCCCAAAAAAAAAATAAGCAAGCATTAAGTATCTTACAGACTCCACGAAGGATTAGAGAACACGGGTGTGGCGCAAAAGCTCTAATTAAGCGCATGATGACGACGCGACGTGACAGCGCAGAACGCAGAATGACTAAAGTGGCGGGATTCGTGTGTTGAATTTTTTTTTGTTGTGTGTGGTAAAACGGAAATCGGAAAATCTGCAGACCCACGCACCACGCAACAACACATACACGTATTCTCACGCGCTTGCAAAGGATTTGTTTGGTGCAGCTTGAGCTAAGCTGAGTTTTGTAGGCGTGCGCTTACATTTGCCACATCCGCAATGCAACTTTAATACCGCCGATTGATGGCTCTGCAGACAGTTACGTCTGACGTGTATAGAGTCTCGGAGCAAGGGCGTGCATGCCTCCTAACGGCATAAAGACTGGCGAAAAATATACTTGCCACGAACATGCGGCATGACTTAGAGTGAGCGTCGGTGCTTTGTCGCTGTTGCTTCGCTGCTGCATTCTTTAAAATATTTTTTTTCTTTTGTTGTAACTTGTTTGTAAGTCGTTGTTGCTTTTTTGCTTTGTGTTCCTGTGTTGCAACAGCACAAAGTAGTTGTAAGTAAGCAGCAAACTGGATAAGACAAATGGGTTACGTGATAAAATGTGGTTACTCAAATCGTATCAGTGAGTGGAAAAAGTCTGTGTTTTGTTGTTTGTTTATGTACAACAATTGTTTGCATGCTGCGTGGTTACGCTAACGCTTTATTGTTGCATTTGTGTTTTTGTTTTTTTTTTTGTATATACAAGTATTTTACATGTGTGCATGTGCGCTTTTTGACTCGTCCTTAATTTTCATTCTGTTTGTGCAACAAAGTGATGCATGTACTTTATTTGGCCATACATACAAAATTATTTATTTATATGTATATATGTATGTGTGTATATGTATATATGTTTTTTGATATTTAAGTGTATATATATTTTTATTTCATTTACTTTACTTTTTTATTACCGCTTTTATTTAGTCTGTGTGATTCTTTATTGTTGTTGCCACAACTAGTGTTACTTTGTTTGTCTGCATGTTTTTGTTATTGTTTACAATAAGATACAACTTCAGCTTCTCATATTAGTTTACTGGTATCCTTATCATTGTTTACCTTGTTGCTTTGATATACTTCACTTGTGAAAAGTTTTGTTTCCGTTTCCTACTGATGCTGTCCTTTTCATACATACAAGTATTATATTAGGTGAATAGCTTGATAAGGAGTCAAAGTTTAGATATTTGGAGGTACTAAATATTATATATACTTATGAAAATGAAACATTGTTGTATTGTCAGTAAAAATACTTTAAAAAGTATTGATTAAGTTAGTCGAGTTGACTGCAGTGTTGCAAATAATGCATTAAAAAATAATTGAATTGACATTTTAATTAATTTTTTTTTATTTTGTATTCCCTTATACGGGATTAAAAATAAAAAATAAAAACCTAATTAAAAATTTATTTATAATTTTTTTAAAATTATATTTATTTATTGTTTTTAATCCCAAAAACCGGATTAAGAAATAAAAAATTAAAAATTAAAAAAAAAATTTGCTTTAGAATTCACATTTTTTCGCGATCATTCAAATTAAAAATTAAGATTTTGAATTTTTAAATTAAAATTTAATTTTTAATCCCAAATTTTTGTATTAAAACGTTCGCAATCCTAGTTGAGTGTCCTTGGTTCTGGAACGGATACATCACTGTTGTGGCTACAGAAAGGAGAAATATTCTTGAGTACCGGTTGAGCAATCAAATCTGATACTTTATCTGTTTTCATCCGATTGGGAAAGATTGTTTTTGGAGAAGTCCTTCATATCTGTAACATTTTCGGCTTAGTTTGATAAAACTTTGACTCATCTGACCTAAGCCCACGAAAATTACACTTTTCTTACAATCATAAGTCGTTCTTTATAAAATTCCATATCAATGTAAACGAAAAGCTTTGTTGAATATTGAAAATTCAATATGGTTGCCAATTTATGTCAATGGTTTTATGGTGTAGTTAAGAAAAAATCCATAATCCTTTCATTAAATTGACATTATTTAGCATAATCAGAATTATCTGATTTGTGATGTGAAATATGCACGCTTTTGTTCGATAACTTTTGTCACCTTGAAGGTAACTGCTCCCAATCAAGCTTCCGGAGCTTCTGGCGAGTAACTATCGATGCGTGTGGCTTGGCGAGGGTCCATGGAGTACAATTTCTTTTATATATACTGGGCGATTGCCCCTTTCAGACAGTCCAATTATTGAGAGCACAGGCTCGAATTAATAGTTTGGCCGTAAGGAGTAGGTCATAGTAGATAACTCCCTGTGAATTCCACCAAACAAATAGCAAAACTTTTCTGACTTTCAATCCTGCCTTGGACACTGTTTACGCCGGCTCACAGCAATTCGAACACGACTGTGTTTACGTAAGTGACTCACCAGTAACCATCCGATTCAGAAATGGATCTATTTTTTTGCGTTAACTCTTGTGGCATCCATAACAGTAACGAAACAATGCTGTGCGACTGTCGCACTCGACGATTTCTAATATTTTTATCGATACTTTCGATAAATGGCCTTCTAGACATCAAAATTACCAGGAATTCCATCGATCGGTGGAATCGACTAAGCCAATATTTCGCGTCATTCGCTGTTATAGTATCAATACCATAAACACTGTTCACATTTTCTGCCGCCAGAACTGTCAAATATTGAATATTTCTCTTTGAAAGATGGACACCAGATCTTTGACGCCTGTTCTAAGAATTCTCAGTCAAGCTCCCTTTACAGTCCTATAAGTCTTTTTAATACGAAATCATATATTTCTAACGCCATATGACGTAACGTAATGATCACACTTGTACAACGCACGGTACAGTTTGACGCACGATAAAGTAAAGCATTTCTGTTCACTAGACCTAATACCATTAAAACATGATTGTGACAACTTATAATGACCATTTGGCTTTGGGATCCATGAAATCTTATTCCACGCTTAAGAATCAATAATCAGAGAAAGTGAAACAGTCGACGGAATCCGATATTGTCCGCCTACAAAATTGCAAATAAGAGGTGAATTATGTCCCATTTTAAAAAGATCCCGAAAGATGATTCTAATGATGATTGCTTTTGAATGCAGCGAAAGGGTTGCTCTTCTGCGAATAAAATTTTCCACTTCGGTCTAAGGTAACTGGACCCGACTAGTTTCAAATCGCTTCATCGCATCATCTTCTACAATTATTTCCTTGTCGTCATCTTCAAAAAACTAGATAAGTGTTTTCTCCGTAAATGGTATTCCATTAGATGGACATAGGAAATGTGATTAAGAATCCTTCAAAGCAACTATAAAGTAGGATTTCTGTCTTCAGAGCAATTCCCTCAACAAATAAATACACAATAATTTTAAAATAAAAAACTTTTTATTTGCCACTTCCTTTTTTCTATCACACTCTAAATTCAATGCATTGACACAGCTGCCATTAGGCCTTGTCATGTCCTTCCGTTAGCATCCCGCTAATTGCCACATAACGACGTTCGTCGTTTGTAACTCTGCACTTGATGTGAAACGAATCTCAGCGCCGTTGGTTTGCTTTTAAAAGTTAGTTAAAAGTCAGCGAATTTGTCAATGCAAAAGTGTGTCCAAAGTTATCCTAGTTAGATGTGTTAGCTGTGCATTTCCGCTCTTAACTACGCGCTCAACTTGCAACTTTTGCTGGCCATCAACGTAACTGTTCTATTGTGTTGTTAAGCTTATTCTTTATTTTTGCTTTGCTCAAGTTTTCGAAAATCTTTTCGTCACAAAAATAGTTTAGTTTAACGAAATATCAAGTATAAAAGTTGTGTGGAAGCATGTCTTCCTGTACTCTCTCCCTCTACCCTCTGTGGCGTGGGGAGTAAAGGGGTACAACTATGTTATGTAATGTGGTATAGCGAGATTTTTAACACAACTACTTATGTGGCAAATATGTTTGATGGTATTGGTGACGATACCCAACAGACAAATAGTTAGACTTCATATTATTTTACGTTTAGTATCTTTATAGTTTTAGTACCTACTGTTTGTCTGTGGCATACTGTATGTAATGCCTTTGGCAACTCTAAAGACTCGAAAATAACATTTATTATCATTATTTCACAGTCGTAAGATTAGTATAATATGTGGTATATTATTGTGTCGCCTTAGGGCAAGATCATATTTGTTCTCAGAAGTTTACATTAAAGGTTAAGGAAGCGCACCAATCAAATCTCATTATATCTGTTTGCGCTAGATTTTGCGTTCTGCTATTTTGTTGTGTTAAGTATGCATAACCAGGCCTTTGTATCCCATACAGGAACGGACAAATTTGTTTGGTTTCACTTCTCATTATGTTCCACTACTTTCATTTCTGTCTTTTTTCCATTAATTTGCTTAAATTTACTTTTTTTAAACTCACACCACCTTATTTTGGTATGTTTAATACCAATTTGTTACATTATTTATATTCCATTTCGTTCCTTTATATCAAAACTAACTAATATATATCTCCCTGCCTTTTCGATCAGTAACGATCACTTTTTGATTCAAATTTATTTACTCATACCATTTTGTCAATTATGTTCTATTCCATTTTGTTCCTCTAAGTTAGACATATTAGTACGTCTTTCATAGTCTTTTAAATCTCTAACTACCTATATATTATTAATATGTTTTTCCATCAAATCTTTTCTGTCCAATTTGTTCTATTCTGTTCTATTCTAATGCGTTTATTTATATAAAAGCGAACAAATATATCTTATTTATTTTTCGATCACTATTAATATTTCATTCCAATCCGTTCTCTCATGTTTCCATTCCATTTCGTTCCTTTATATAAAACAAACTAAGTTGTTTACCACTCTCTTTTCTATTTCGTTCGGTAAACTGTTTCCAATTTTTACAATTATCCTTTATTATCGCTTACTGGGTATAATCACTAACATTCACATCCGATATTTATCACATCTTGCTAGACCTTTAAGTGCATCCATCAGCATCCGTAATGCTGCAATATGTATAGTGGTTGCGTGCAACTTGGTCATTGGTCAAACCGCATAAACTTCGATGCATGCAGCAACTCATTTATCTACCCACAACTAACATGCATCTGGGCAATAATGCTTCACTACCACGAATGTATGCATACATAGCCTCACATTTGGGTTGCAAGTATTGCACAGGATGCGCGAAATTACAAGTTTTAGTTAAGTGTGTACTCACTCGTTAATTTTCAACGCAAAACTACATTAAAACTTTTTCAAATTGGTTTTCCGAAAAATTCACGACTTTTACCACATTATCATCCTCCTTTTACTTTTATATCTATTATGTGTGCTTTTGGTTTGCTGCAACTTCCACTATTTGCTGCAAACACAAATCAAATTATTTGCTTCCATCTCTCTGATCTCATCCTTTTAGCTTCCGAATCGATGAGCAAACTGTTTCGACCATCTTCAGTTGCACGTGCCACACCTACTAAAAGCGCGCCGCCCATCGCAAACGATAAAATTGATGTCGTCTCCACCGAGTTGGCGGCGACCAGCACGGCACCAGCAGTGGATAGTATTTCATTGATATCAACGGCGAGTAGTGGCAATAAAGCGCTGGATTCAGGTAACTCTGCCGCAGCTGATCCGCAATCTGACTCCGTACACACATACACACACTCGATTGCCAGCTCCTCTTTGGGCATGCATGACGATACAGTGTCCACGGCATTGTTGGTGGACACAAGTTTGCATAGCGTGAGCGAATATGACACGGAGAGGGCGACTGCACAGGCTGAGCCGATGGGAAGAGAGCGACGCGTACCAAATGGTAAGTTTAAGTTATTTTTTTCGGTTTCTCATAAAACAAAAGCGCACATTTTTTTCATTACTAACGCTGCTGTATTCCCTCTTTACACCTTTTCTTTCAGCAAATCCTTTCTTGAACGAAAAAACGTTAGTAGAGTCTGCTATGGGTCAACCATCGCAGCTGAGCTTAAAAATAGGCACACCTTTCGAACAATCCATTGTACGCTACACGGCGCGCTTAATAGCCGCGCGTTTCTTGCTTGCCGGTCAAGCAAGCGTTTTGTTGACCGACACGCAAATACGCATCTCCATCAAGAGTCTTTCGCTGTCGGTGCTGGCGCATTGTGTGCGCTTCGATCCCGAGGTGTTGCAACTACCATTGGAGATCACCGCGCGTGAGTTGCTAGATGTTAGCAAACAGTCACCCGTGCTCGGCGCCACAGCAACCATACAAACCTCATCGAAAAGTTCGAGCGCCAGCGCCAGTCCTCAAAGCGACGACGATGTCAGCGGCAGCAGTTCAAATCTGGGCAAAGATTATGAGCACTTGGATGCTGTGGATTTCATTAAAAGCAGCAGCGCGCAACCGATCACAGCGGCGCTTAATGATTTGCCCGCTGAATTGCAGTTGCTCGAAATCAAAGACGATCATTTCGGCAAAAGTACTTGTGATTATTTACTGCATTCCACAACGGAGCTCAGCAAGAGCGCCGATCCGGTGCTGATGTCACAACAAATACGCGATACGCCCGGCAAACGGCTCACGGATCACCCGCAACAGCCCTTATCGAAATCGGAAATTATTGCATCGAAAACGTTGCAGAAGCAGCAACCGCAGCGCGCGCCGAATCAGTCGCAGTTATCGCCTTACCGCGTCACCGAATCCGTAGAGGATGTGCCACCACAAATGCTGCCGCCGCGTCCGCCTAAGCGCACGAAATCACAGCGAAAATCGATTGCAGCCGCTACAGCCACGGTCACTGCTCTGATGCAAATTGAAGAGCATTTCAGCAGACGGCCAGCACCGGACGCACCTTTACAACAACCGCAACAATTGACAGATGTGCTACTCTACTATAATCACAGCGATCCGATGCTGCGTGGTGGTGTACAACAAATTATTGGTGGATTTCTGCAAGCGATGGGTGTTAAGGACTTGGGTGTCAGCTTAAAGTTGAATGTGCAACATCTCTTAGCGATGCTTGTTAAGGTGAGTGTGCAATGAAAGTGTTTAAGCTAATCCTTTCGTGTATTATTTTTGGAGTCGTTAAAATTTTTTAGAAAATTTTCGTGTTTACACTATTTGAATGACTCAAAGCAACGTGCAATTAATTGTGTTGTTCCCAGTATAAATTTCGCAACAGTGTAAGTTTTCCTTCACACACTTACTTTAAGCAATCGAAAGACCAAGAAAAGTGCAAGGTGAAACTTGCCTAAGTTTATGTTTCAAATGTTGGCATCGATATCATCTAATGGTAAATCATAAAGGAAGTACTTCGTCGAGGTTAGACCAATGATAATTTCTGACGTACACTTAAATTTTAAAAAGCTAACAGAAACAGAACTCTGGGGTGTTCCATTCGCATTGTGATATGTCGTCTTCTTGAAACCAGTATTCCTCAAATGGTTTTTCTCGAAAAAAATCACATTTTGAGTATTATCTTGGTGAGACGTTTGATTATAAAACTACTTAAACATTCTAGCACAAGAAAAATAATAACAGATTGAGAAGTCAAAGCTTTCCGAAAACGATTTCTTAATATAAATGATCAGCATGATTAGCTGAGTTGATTTAGCCATGTCCGTCTGTCTGTCTGTATATACGCGAACTAGTCCAATCAGGTTTTTGAGATATCGATCTTAAATTTTGCAAACGTTCTTTTCTCAAACTGAACGATCAATATCAAGTTCTTGTATAGACAACTTTTTTATTTGACAAGATATCTTCACGAAATTTTACAATGCTTCAATCTCCCAACATACTGTTCAGATCGGACGACTATAATATAAGGTTGGAAGGTATCTCCCTTCCGCTTTTTTGCTCTTCATTCAATGCTTTATAAAGTGTGATCGGCTTTAGTTAAAATATGCGCCGTTTTGTTCGATGATCTGTTTCCATCTAGACGGCAACTTCATAATACCTTCCTCGTAGAAGCCCCCTCCTTATTTGCGAATTCGGACAGCCACTTTTCACAAGCCTCTTTTGAGTTCAACTTCACACCACCAAGGGCATTCGCCATGGACAGGAACTGGTGGTAATCACTTGGCGCTACGTCCGGGCTATATGGTGGATGCGATAAATCCTCCCATCCGAGCTCCCGTAGCTTCTGACGAGTCATCAATGAAGTGTGTGGTCTGGCGTTGTCCTGGTGGAACACTACACCCTTCCTGTTGGCCAGTTCTGGACGCTTCTGGTCGATCGCCTGCTTCAAGCGGTCCAGTTGTAGATGGTAGAATTAAGCGTCTGGCCATATGGGAGCAGCTCATAGTGGATGATTCCCTTCCAATCCCACCAAACACACAGCAAAACCTTCCTGGCCGTCAGTCCCGTCTTGGCCACTGTTTGGGACGATTCACCGGCCTTGGACCACGACCGTTTTCGCTTGATATTGTCGTATGTGATCCATTTTTCGTCGCCAGTCACCATCCGCTTCAAGAATGGGACGAGTTCGTTCCGTTTCAGCAGCATATCGCAGGCGTTGATTCGGTCCAGAAGGTTTTTTGCGTCAAATTATGCGGCACCCAAACATCAAACTTTTTTTTGTATTCAGCCTTCTGCAGATGGTTCAAAATGGTTTGGTGACTAACTCCCATCTCCTGGGCGATGTCACGAGATGCCATATGCCGGTCTAACTCGATGTATTCCATGATTTGATCTGTATTTGTCGTCACAGGTCTTCCGCCGGCTGGCTTATCCATGGTGTCGTTTTCACCGGCTCTGAATCGTCGAAACCATTCCTCCGCGGTTCGAAGTGATAGAGTACCATCCCCCAAAACACCATTAATCTCACGGAACGTTTCTCTAGCGGATTTGCCTTTAACGAAGGAAAACTTTAAAATAGCGCGAATTTCGGCGTTAGTGAACTCCATGTTTATACGTCTATAACTGTTGTTGTTTTGTAGGTTATGTCAAGACCTTTCAAATTATGTATAGTGTTGCCAGATACGAGCTCTGTAGCGCTTTGTACATAGCCGCGAAATTCAAAAGACAAAAAAGCGGAAGGGAGATACCTTCCAACCTTATATATAGTTGCCATACAAACTGAACGATCAAAATCTAGTTCTTGTAGGGCAACTTTTTTATTTGTGACGGGTATTCTAGCTTCGGTGCAGCCGAAGTTAACGTTTATTCAGGTTTTTAATACATCTTGATAAAATTTGTAGAGTTTTATTAGAATTTCACTGCAGTACAATGTTCTTAAGAATATAATCTATGCTAATGCCCACATCACAAGATGAGTTCTACGAGAAAAGTTCAATTTCCTTTGCTATATTTGTGCGCTCTTCAATTATCTATAACTTATTACGTATTAGTAAAATGCAGAAAAGAAAACTGAACTGCCAGTTAAGTTGCTGAAAGTATTTCGTATTTGTTTGGATTTGCAAACATTTGAAAATGCTTATCCGCTTGAAGTTTTCGCTCGCCTGCCGGCAGCTGGCCTTTTCAATTTCCTTCAGGCTTGGCCTATTAGAGTAGCTGAGCGGCTGCATGCAAGCTTTGCACTAACAAGCCGAACAAAAAAAGATAAAAAAAAAAATGCAAATTCTTTTAATATCAGCCAAACAGCTCGTAGGCGCAAGCGGGCGAGCGGGTGTGCGGTGCAATTTTTCGCAAACATTTTATTTTACTTTGGATATTTTTTGATTCATTTCTGTGCGCATTGCTTCTACACATACACACACACACACACTTTAATATATATAATTGCTGTTTATAACTATATATATATGTGTATATATGTTTGTATGTATGTATATGTTTTGTTCACTTCGTTGCAGGGCTTGCAGGACGACATACACACAGTGGTCATACAGGCGTTGAATGCATTCGAGAAGATATTTCCGTATGTGGTGTCCAAATATTTGATATTGCCGGCAGCGCATCATCAGCACAAGCAACAAAACCAACAACAACATGAACAAACACATGCCGACAGCGCTCAAAGTACGGCAGCTGAGGCAGCTGAAGCAGTTGATAAGAGTGGCCGGAAATGCCATGCTAATGCCGCTGGCCAAGTGCCACAACAGCAACAACAACAACAACAACAACAAACCCAACAACAGCAGCAGCAGCCGCAGCAGCGCACTAACGATGCAACAAAATCAAGCTTTTACATACACGTTGGCAGCAAATCGGCAGCAAATGCCACTGCTGCTAAGACATGTCCTCGAACGCTTTTCAACGATAATGATGCGCTTATAGCTGCACTTTTGAATGATTTTCAATTGCAATCGAAATCGAATCGTAACGGCAGCAACAACGACAACACCAACACAAACGACCAGCATACAAATGATACTGCCACTCAGCCGCAGACGGCAGACGTGGCAGGCAACAGCAATACAACTGATCCACTCGCACAGCCACTTCCACTTCCGCTTCCGCTGGCCGCTTTGCGCATTTCACCAAAATTGCTGTTGAGCAAACTTCGTCTATGTCATTACAACAAATATTGGTTAGTTCAAAATAAATACGCCGAAGTTATTTCGAATTTAAATTATGCTGCCTTACATGCGGCATGCAACGATTGCCATGGCTACTGTTGTGGCACGGCGATTGGCTGTGCATGTGACATTGGCGGTGCTGAAGTGCTGAAAGATGCCGGCGTCGCCGCCAGTTACTGCTGTGACGTCTTCGTTGCTGATAACAATACCGTTAATACCACATTGCCTGACGACGTTGATGCCACCAAGGGTGCTGCCACTGCGTATGCGTGTGGGGTGGATATGTCATACAAGGATTTGCACGATAGTGAATGCATTTACGAGGTAAGCCAACGACGTCCCTTTCAGTCACTTAGCGATGCAGTGTTGCGCATTTATTTCGAATTTAGCTTTATTGCATTCTTAGTTGAGCACACACATACATATGTAAGTTTTTTGTTGTCATTTGGTATTGGCTATGCGTTCCTCCTTATGTAAGCAGTTTCCTGTCCGTCCACGAGCGACCCACATGTGGCCTTATAAAGTGTGGCAGGAAATAATATTTGTATAACATGGTATAGCTACTACCAATTTCGCCAAAATATTATCTAAGTTATCAAAGTAGGGCAAAGTACCATATTTCTGTGGCCAATTAAGTTAAAAAATTTGCATTTCGTGGCACAAAATCAACTAATAACGAGGTCCCTTTTGAGTATAACGGGAATCGTTTTATGACAAATGGTTGATATATGTACAACGTGATCCAATAACAACTACAATAATATATAATGTTTGGTTCCAGCAGAAATTGACCCTACTTTATTACTCAAGTTAATTTTTTTTGTATCTGATAATTTTACAGTTTGGTTAGTCCCTTACATTTAGCACTGATAACAAGACTATCCCGAAAAATCCAAATCCTTCAGGTTTGCTAACAGCATTTTATACCAGGGTGGCACACTAATTGGCACACCCTCCCATGTGCACTAAAATTAACAGGAAATTTAAGACAAAAATAAAAATATCTAGAAAAAAAAATAATGCTTAAGGCAAACAAATCAGTAATTACAAAAATAAAAAAAAGAACATAATAGAACCATAAAACAAGCAAAAACATTTACTTCGGTTGCAACGAAGCTAGAATACCCTTCACAAATACAAAAGATTCCTTACATGAACTTTGATCGTTCAGTTTGTATGATAGCTATATGCTTTAGTGGTCCGATATCGAACCGTTTAGTTAAATGAGCAGCTGCTTGGTTAGAAAAGAATTTCAGATCGATATCTAAGAAACTGAGGGACTAATTAGCATATATACAGACAGACGGACGGACAGGCGGACATAGCTTCCCGACTGATCGTCACGCTGATCATTTACATACAGTTTGATTGAAAAGTTTCTCCGCTCGAAATGTAAAAATACCGTTTTTGGTACGAAATACATTTTTTTATTCAATATAAACTCCCTTAACTTCAATACACTTATTCCAATGATCCTCTAATAATTTTATGCCATCCCTATGGTGACTTTCCGGAAACTCAGCAAAATAACCCTCTACGGCTGTATTAGTTACTTCATTCGACGAAAAACGCATTTCACGAACGAATTGTTCAGGTTTCTGAAGAGGTGGTAGTCGCTCAAGCAATTCATACTTTAATACGTTGAATTTTGTCATTGTTAAGACACCTTTACAAGCAGGTGCATTGTCTTGCTGAAAAATACTTTTTTTTGTGCTGCAAACCAAGTCTTCTCTTACGAATTTTTTTATTCAGCTGATCCAAAAGGCTGCTATAATATTCAGACTTGATTGTTTTACTTTTCTGCAGATAATCAAGCAACAAAATTCCTTTTGCATCCCAAAAAAATGATGCCATAACTTTATTTGCTTTGGTGATTTCACCTGCTTTGGAGCTGAACAACCTGCTGTTAGCTTGTTAACGTGTGCGGCACTAACTTTCCAAACAGCTTTTGTAATTCTCCAAGTAAAATATGAAGTGCTTGCTCTTCTGAGCTGCCTATGGCATTACCAATTTCACACTTAGTCAAACTTGGATCTTCACTAACAATATCATGAACTTGCTCAAGGATTTCTGGTGTGGTTGTGGTTTTGGTCGTCCTTCGTGTGGATCATCTTCATTAGTTTCGTCGTTTAAATTCACCAGAAAAAAATTCAAGGGTGCGTTTTGAAGGTGAGGACTCCTTATACACCTCTAACAATTGTTCCTAAATTTCTTTTGCTATTAAACCTTTGAAAACAAAGAATCTAGTCACTAAGCGCTCATTATTTTTTTTCATATTAAAAAAGTACTCTGACACGTCAACTGCAAACGGTTTGTAAACAAAGAATTAATTGACAGAATGACTTGTAACACGACAGATGTACCAACTTGAGAAAAAAATTTGGAGCTAGTAGTGCTATTTCTTGGTGAGAGCAGACACTTTTTATCCAACCTGTATATACTTTATAGGGTATCTGACGTGTCCTTTTCGACATCAGAAACATCGTGGCAAATAGGGAACAGGGTATGGTTCAGGGTATAAAAATCAAGGTTCGGTCAAGAGATTAACACATCTGAAAAAAACTAAAAAAAATGTTATAAAATTTTGAAAGTAATATGAAAAAAAAAGAAACGTATTTGTTTTACTTATTTTATATTTAGTTGGGTATCCATTTTGGGAAATTACGGATGTACATCTTCTCGGCTTGAATGACACTAAATCCGCGCAGATGTCATTGGGTATTTTCTGCCATTCCTGTTGAATAACTTTATCGTGCACTGTTTTCGGTTTGAGTGTCATGACTCGTTGTTGCTCGTGTTGTTATTGCACACAGATTTTCAATTGCATTGATGCCTTCACTCTGGGCACCCAATTCAGCAACGGAATTGCCTGGTTTTGGAGCAACTGTATCACAGCTGAAGTTAAAGTTTTTTCTTAATTTTTTAAATTTTTTTTAAATTTTTTTTTATTTTTCTTTCATTTTTTTATATTTTATATTTATTTTTAATAAGTTGTCCATTTGACAACTTTTTTTTATTATTCTTTATTTTCATTTCCGATTTTCAGTTTTCTCTAAATTAATTGTTGACTTTTTATTTGCAAATTTAATAACTTAGTGCTAATAATCAACCATCCACAAAACAATTATTTTTTATAAAATGTCAGGCCTTCGTATATATATATTGTTCTCGTGAGAAAATTGCTGCTACACCAACTTTTACACATTTCAAGAGAGGCGGCGAGTAGGCTTTCATTTCCGGCGCTGTTCAGCCATTTCACTTAGTGTGTCAGTTGCTGAATGCCAATTTCGCTTCGTTCAAATTGCACTACAATTTCGTGTTTTTTCACTCTATTTGTCTCTTTAGCTTCTTCTTATTCCCAATCAAGCCGCTTTCGTCAACGCCATGCATATGTAATTTCCGTTCTCACTTAGCCGTTGCAATTTGTGCAAGGATAATACAATAATTTTTGCTTGACGACTACTCTCGAATTCTTAAAATAGACTTTTAAGCCTATGTGCGGCATGCATAAAAGCCGAGTGCGAAATGAATCCGAAAAAAGGGTGTCAAAGTGCAGGGGAAAATCGTTTATGCACTTTAAACTTTTTACGTGCGCACAAACGCGCAGCAAGTTGACGTGCATGTGCTGGTATGTGTGTGTGCGTATATATGAGTATATTCTCTTTGTTTGTGTGTTGCTCGCTTTGCGCTAGTTTCGTTTCCGCTTTCATTTTTGCGAAATTCTCTAAACGGAAATGTGTCAAAAATTGCATGGAGCATAGTAATGTTGTTACTCATACGCACCCGCGCACCAACTGAGCCCCACATTGAGTGTGCCACGCTCATAACTTCTCACATGTGTCTGCGCTTGTGTGTGTGTCAAAGTGCACAGAACGGCAGCAGTCTGTTATTAACGCGTTCTATGCTCCGCTACATGCTCTTCCATGCCTTCACATACACAACGCATGCATATGTACTATTATCTCCGCGTATTTTTATTTTATTTTATTTTTTTTTGGTAGAATTTTCCATCACTCTGCCATTTAGTCAATTTCTGCAGCTCGAATCCTTGAGCTTAGGCGGTATTTTGCTCCCAGCGCCGCATTTAAGTTTGCTGCCTTCATGTTCATATTAAACTGCACGCTGCTTTGCACTGTAACTATTGCTTAACATGCGCTTGTATGTGTGCTAACATAAAAGCCTGCATATTTGCCTTAGTTACTTCGTCTTTGTTATTGCTCATAATGGTCGAACAAATTTGGCTCATTTTGAGCTACTTTGTCGGCATTTTGCCTCGTGAAGGCATATTCGTATGTATGTTTGTACATATGATTAGAATTGTAAAACTCTTCACCAGTATAAAGGGTCTTACAATGGACCTCTGAATGGATTTTCTAAAAAACTTCATTGCGGAATTCCACTCGAAGTTTTACTATTGCTTGCCGTGCCACATTCGCTAAGAGAAATCACTTTTACAATAATTTAGCATTCTCCAAATAATTATTATAAATGCTGCTGAGTAGTTTGTCCTGGCCGGACATATATTTATTTATATGTATGTATGTATTTTATCGTTTAGGAAACCTTTTAAATTCGACTGGCGTTTTGTATCTATACAAATCAATATGAAAACAAATATAACTTTCTAAAAATATTATTTATATCCGATAATTTCAAATTGTATAAATTAATTCTAATGAAGAGTGTTTAATAATTCTAAGCGGAAATAATTTTTAAAGTAGGACAATTGCAATCAGTAGCAGCAATTTGTTGTGGAATATTGTATGGAAACTATTTTTTTTTTGTATATATTTATGGATATCTATTACCCTTTAAGATTTTATTATTTAATATTGAAGAATATCTTTTTCATTGCTTCCATGCTCAGTCATTCAACCCAGGAGTTGTCTTGTCTTTCTGAAGTTGTTACGTATAGTTTATCTATGCGTTTTTGCTTTGGCTTCACAGCTGCGAGTACCGAATTTACAAAACTCCTCATCACAGCGCTAGTGTTCTTATTTGCGGCAGCTAGAATCAACGTTTTCGTTTGCTATCGAATCACCTTGGCATATTTTTTGTGAAATTGATCATCTCACATCTAACAGAGATCTAACAGAGCTCACTTTAAAAAATACCTTTGCCTGGTTAAACTTATTATTTAGTACAAATCCATTTTTGTACAACTTACCCGCAGTTATCTAGTAGTTTCTTTCTTTGACCCTGTCCAACTCTAGCCGTGTTTGACGTGAGATTTGCTTTTCTTCGAATGCTGTAGTAGGAGTATAGTATAGTAGTAGTATAATTTCCTTTAAATTTAACCAAAATTATTTGATGTATTTATTTAT